TAACGCCACAAAGAGTCCTTTGGAAGACAGTGAATTAGACATGTGCCTAACTCATACACAAATTGGATACTCTGAGGTAGAGAAGGCACAGATAAATTATTCATTAATTCACACAGTCAACTTTCTTCCTGGTAAATGGTAGACAGAAGATTGTGATCTGGAATTTTTACTGAAATCACATATTCAGCAGTTGTAGTGGGGAGGCTTAGTTTCTGGGTCTACATCACTCTGAATGAAGGGCAAGGTGATCTCTAGAAATAAACTAGATTCCTAAGAAATCTAAATAACCCCTTGAGCTTCACTGGCTTGAGTTGCTGACTGATACCATTACATAGTGTAACACTCAATATTCAGCAGCAAGGCTAATGTGTTTTGATAGATAATATAAACTATAGAAATAATATAAAGAACAAAAATAAAATAGCTTATTTCAAGGGGCCTATTGTGCTCTTAGAGAGAGGACATGTTGATTAACGAAATAGACATTCCCAAATGCAAAACATCTACAGTCCGTCAGAATGATCTCTCTGTGTTAGGTCTACTGCTATCTTTTATTATTCTATTTTATGCATTAAATTCTCTACTACTTTCTAAAGATTCCAGTCTATAACATCATGGACCAGAACTCCTTTGAAGATGAAAACAATTTTATATAATAAAAAGGTCACAACCGTGCAAATCAAGTATATTATGTATAAATTCACGTTCATATAAGATGAAAGCAAGAAGTATCCATTTTATGGTTAAATATTTAATAACATCTCCACCTCTGCCTAACATGAGAACAAAACAAATCAACATTATTTTCTTGAGGAGAATGTGGTTCAGTTTATGTAAATTGTTAAAAGATAAACTGAGGCGCAATAAAATGTTAAAAGCAACTCCAATCTGGAAGTGGTTTGGGGACTCCGCTGAGGGAATGCAAACGGGAGGTTTTTTAATAGGATGAACACAGACACAAAGCATATATTTAATTGGTTACAGTTATACAGTTACCTTATGATGCTGCTGGAAAGTCCCGAGCTGCAGAAGTGTAAGTTAGTTGGTGGCTTCTGATTGATTAGTTTCATTTTTCTTTTAATATAGGCATTTATAAGAAAAAGCTCAAGTTAAGTTTCACTCATGTGCGCGAATCATACAAAATTAAGGTGACGTATGAGGCCTGTCTTAGTCTTCTCCATTTTAATTTACTATAACCAAAGATATATTAAATATAAATAAATATCTCATATAGCCAAATTGTTATTAATACCCATATTTCTATATAAATATCAGATATATATTTTGTATATGGTAAGATGAAATATATCTATAATGCTTTGTCCCAAGATTCAAAGACATGCTTATCAAATGGGTAAATAGCAAAAAGGTAAATTGGTGATTACACTATAGACAGTATCTGCATTCTAATGATCTCATCAGGAAATAATAACACAAGGTAACTGGATAATACAAACAAATACACATAGGTTAAATAAAATGGAAAAACATCCAGAAAGGATTGGAAAGTTTTGGCTACAAAGTAGGACATCTCAAAACAAATCTAGCTTTTTAATTGGTTATAGATGCAAATCAATAGTATAACATTGCATACCAAAAAGTTAACACAAATGGGTTGTGTTAATGGAATAAGAGTGTGCAAAGGACAAACATGAATCTTTTCATGCCCTGATTCTGTCAGGAAATCACTAGAATATTCAGTTCAGTGTTTGAATGAATTCCCGGGCAGTCCCTGTGTAGGGGTGTGTGTGTGTGTGTGTGTGTGTGTGTGTGTGTGTATGCACAATGTGTGTGCATGCTGGCATGCTGTGCATATCTGTCATTTCAAGTGGTACATTGGTCTCTAAAAGGCAGAGTATGTCCATGATGGGACCTGCACTGAAAATATATGAGAGAGAGAGAGAGAGAAAGAGAATAGCTGCTTTGCCTGAAAAGAAGCTAAACTAAGGAAAACAGGGTAGCGTCATCCAGGTGGGACTCTATATGCCTCCCTCGATCCCCAGCTCTCACAAACATGAAGTGACCACTACACGCAGCACTCACGCCCTCCAATGGCCTGGTTTCACCCATCCTCCAGCGCTGCTCTGCTGCTCCCAATTTATCTTCTCGCATTATGGAGCTCCTTAGATTTTCCTGATATGCTGCCGTGTCCCCATGCCATTATTTTGCTACTATTCTTTCCCTTGAAGTGCCCTTTTACCTCTGCTTTTCTTCTTCATGGGATAAATCATCCTCATGTTTAAGAGTCAGCTCAAACTTATCTACTACAGAAAACATTTTTTGACTCCCTTCCTCTCTATTCCATCTCTCTGCCCCATCCAATGCCCCTCCTCTGGAATCCTGTAGCATCTTGTACTCATTTTTTTTTTAGCATATAGTGAATTAAAATGATCTGTGTATGACTGTCTTCTGTAGCTGAACTGCTAAGCAGAGATTCTAATTGCTAGTGGCTGTGAAAAGACATCTGATGAAATGGGCTCGGTGTTCATCATGTTAAAAGGTAAATGAGCTTCCTTAATCACAAATGTATACAAAGTGCCTACTGAGTGCCAAGCAGTAAAGATCAGTGAGCTAGACAATACCAGAAGGAAATGAAAAGTGAATAGAAACTCATTTCAATAACAAAACAACATTCTAATAACCAGATTTGCTTAAAGTTGGAAAAGAATACCTGGTAATGATGTCTGTTAACCATCACTGATAGTGCCAGGAGTACTACATAAAAATGATTTCATGATTGGGAGGCTAGATTAGATCATTAGGTACTTTCTAAGATTTTTTCCAATCCTGCCATTCTATAGCCTCAGCTACTTCTTTCCCGTTTCAAAGGTGAGGGAGATCCATTTTCATCTTTAAATGACACATCCATAGCCATGTAGTTCTATGTGTAATTAAAACTAAAGCTATTCAAAGACAGCTTTTGCTGCAGCGTAGCAGGATACAGCCAGACACAAACTGCAAAAATGTGAGTTAGTTCTTAGCACTTCCTCTATCAATTCTTTTAACTAAGGAAGTAAAATGAATTCCCGGGCAGTCCCTGTGTAGATGTGTGTGTGTGTGTGTATGCACAATGTGTGTGCATGCTGGCATGCTGCGCATATCTGTATAAGTGGGTCTTATTATCAGAAATAACTGAGGAAAAGACAGTGGACACTTACAGTGCCCTTGCACTGTCAGGAATCCGTGGCCACACTGCAGGACAAATAAAAGAAATGAATGCATTTTGTACTACATGACAGTAAATTGTTAGCATTTAATGGCTTGCAAGGAAATATGAATAAAACTGGTCATTGTGCAAATGAATTCCTGATCCTGCATCTAGACATGAAAAGCAATAGACTTTAAAATCCTCATGGACTCTGTAACATCCAGGCACTACATGGGCGACACAGCAGACTGCCAATGGGCATACTCTCTGTGCCAAGACACCCTGGGCCTGAACCACCCTCAGTAATCCATAGCTAGGTGTCCCTGGCCAATTTACTCGACTTTGGCATGCCTCAGTTTCCATATCTGTAAAATGGGTATAATACTACCTATTTAATAGAATTTTGAGGAGTATAAAATAATATCAGCCCTGTAAAGCACTAAGAACAGTGGTGCAACATGGTAAGTATTCACAATATTGCCTTCTGTTATTATACCAGAACACATTTTCATACTGAGTGGTTCTGCAACTATCAACACAAAGTAAAATAATATTACTTACTAGAAAACTAACACAGTAGGTATCTTTCCACATTGCTTTTAATTACCTAAAATTCTCATATATGAGTTTTAATAAATTCTTCCATTCATTTAAATGAATCTTTATTAAAATTTGTTTGAATAATATTTAAGTAAATATTAAATAAAATGCAAAATTTAAGAAATACCAAAAGACTTTATGAATAGTCCTAAAATCGGATCTACTACAAAATATGGCCAAAGAGGGCAAAGAAGATTCTAGATGACAAATACTTCCATTAAATATTTCCATTAAATGTTTAAGTTCAAAAAAGGCAAGGCCTACATCCTCCTCCTCATTTTATCTTGGTACTTGGTGCCCAGAACTTCAGTATTTAAAAGACAAATCAATGGATGAATGTGCAATTAATCAATTCTGGTTCATCTCAGCATATCCTATGAAAGGGGAGTTGCCATCAAATTTGAAAGATGCTCTTTGTGTATCATCTTTGTATTTTTAATGTGTTTTTTTCCTGTAGATAGACTGCAGTTCCTTCAGAACATTAAACTACATGAATGAGAAGATACGGTTTATAAACATTTTCTCTCAAAATGAATGACTCCCACACATTAAAAATAATTTGGTTAATATTTACTCAATTATTATAATAATGAAAGCAAACAGTCTTTTTCAAGTCAACATTTCTTTAATCATCACACATAAAGATATTTTCCCACAATTTCTCATAAATATAAATAAGTTGTATGTGCTTTGTTAAATTACATTCTGTAGGACCAGCTTTGGCGAGGCAAAATCAATTATAAAATAAAAAATTCACAAAGTCCATCCAGCAGATTCCTGTATTTTTTAAGAAAAGGACGTTGAGATTTCTTGGAGCCACAGAATTCCTTGAATATTTAACTAAAACTAAAGAGGGAAAGAAGAGGTGGGGAGTGCATCCATTTGCTCTAAATATTCCAGGGCAATCGTTTGCTTTTCTCATCCCCAGACTGAAGATCTTCTTCCTCTAAGCCAGCAGATGTATATGCTAGCTTGGCTTTCACACTGAGCTCACATTCTAAGATTCACGTCCGGTGACAGGAACAAAGTCCAACGTCATTGTTCTCTGGTCAGTATGGTGTAAGATTTTCTCTTCATCCTGGAGGATCTATCAGTAGCTAGATTCCTGCCCTTGCATCAGTAACTACTTCAGAAGATTCATTCTCCACCTTCACCGACCTTCAACTCTACAATCTGCCTCTGCCTCGCCCTTGCTTCCCACTCTGCGCTTCCGCCCAGGCAGCCTGCCACCTGGCTTCTCTACTCCTGCCTTGAGCCAAATCCCGGTAGGACTTGTTACTTTCACTTGCTCTTTTTTCTGAACCATTTTAGCAGCCAAGGATGGGAATTACACAGGGAAATGCAGGCTAATCAGCTAAATCTAGATTAAATACGCTAGTCCTTGGGGACCTTGAGCTGAATTAATGGAAACGGAGGTTTTTAGTCTTCCAAACTAATTCTGGAAGCTCACCTCCAGCAGAGGCAAACTTGAGGCTGTCCAAAGGCAGCAGATGGCAAGGCTTTCTCCAGGTGCACCAATTGCTGAAACAGCCCTCGGCAAAACCATGAGGAAGGTAGAAAGATTGGAATCTTCTAATCTTACCTTTGAATTTCCTTTTGTGCTTTTCAGTGCTCCCTTGACTAGACAAAACGTACCCACCTAGAACTTCTCAGGCTCCCCTCCCTTTCTCTGTGCATCTGACAAAATTCTGTCTCTCAATGACAGATTTCTGGTAAATCTTAATCATATTA